CTTCAAGTGGTAAAAATTGCGAATTTAACATTGTTTAATTTTGTTCATGTGTGTAGGATGATTATTTAATTTGTCACAAACGGAACAAATTATGGGATAATTCATCAAGTCCTTACTAGTTTATAAATCTATAGTAATACATGTACGACCATTATGTTGGTCATCTTTGTACGTTAGTTATTGGTCGCTATAGTTTCTTGTGGAAGTTGTAAAGTAAAATGACCACTTACATGATAATTTCGGAAGATAACAAGCCTAATTCGCTATATTGGTCAAAACTTAATCAAATTGTGTTTCCAATAAAACTTCACAAATAAACAAAATTATTTACTTTCAGTGATTGATCTAACTGGATTGTTTATTGTATCCTTCATAAATCTCATAACTTGGCATTTATGTATAAAGACATTTCATTTGCATATTTCTCAATGGTCGAACTGAGGTTAAAATTATATTAACAGTACATATGGTAAGAAAATACTCATTTTAGTTTAAAAAAAACATACCTATTAATGCACGCTGGCTGTACTTATCATTTAAGTGGCAAAGACGCTTGTGCAGGTCTTATTGGGCTTAATTTTTATGATAGAAATATATCTATATGTAAATCTTAAGCTTTTGAAGCTTTTAATTTAAAGCGTTTCTGATGAAATGAGAGATGCCGTTCAACGAAATAAATTCAGAAATAAATCAATACATCGATAGCTTGAAACGAAAAGGGTCAGAAAGCTAAGCCCAATTTTATATTTGATTAGGTCGACTTTGACTCAAGGATTTAATCAATGAGTTGCTGCAACTAAATCTGTAAAAAAAAAAGAATTCACCAACAATATGAATCGTGCATGTAATAAATCATACATATACAGAAAAACTAATTGAACAAGATTGGTATTGACCAAGGTGTAGAACATTTTTGTAAGTACCAATACTAGTACATTACATCAATCTCGTGGTCACATAATGTGCGTGTACTTCAAAGGAAGTCCTAGTATAGTAGTTATTAAAACGTGATATTTGCTGTATTAAGTACACATTTGGAGGAAGGCCTATATCAGGCTCATCTTTTTAGAGGTACAGATGTAAATGATTGTTTTGTGTTTATTTTCCATATTAGCTTAATTAAATTGGTTATCGGTTTAATGAAGTGCAAAAATAAATGACTTGGATAACTGATATATAAGAAAAATACAATTATATAGATCCTGGTTAGCAGTAAAAGGTTTGGAAAGAAACTGTCTTAATATTTCAAACGAAATGCCTTTATAGAGGAATAATTGTGTTAACAGAAAATAGAAAGATAGGCAACATTAGTTCAACAACGTTTAATAATCGAAAATCCAAAAACAAAATATTTTTTTATGCTTTTTGAAGAAATAAGTATTATCTTTTTAAGGACAATTTCATTTTGTCAGTATGTGCAGCACTCAACCAATGTTTTTAACAAGGGAAAAGTACATACAAAATTGTACAAACGAAAAAGTTATGGGCGTAAACTGCAGATCTAGAATATTTCAAAATAAAAAACACAAATCAATTTGAAAAATATGAAAGTCGTTTTTTACTTTAAATGCAAAGTCAACAAAAATGTTCCTCATTTTAATTGATAATATTAATTTTACGGTTTCCAATTTTAACTTGTATTATTATAAATATCTCTACGCCACTATACGAGTTTTAAGTTTTACTATGTCATTTCAATATAGAAATAGAAAATTTAAAGGTATATTCTTTAAGAGAAATGAGTTTCAGATTTTTACTTAAGTTGATGAATGTAATGTGACTTTCATATCAAAATATTTCCAGGAAAATTATTTCAGGCCAAAAGTAAGATTGCCTTGTGATTTCTGTTACTAATTTCGAAAATATTTAACCAACGACATCGATTCAAAAGTAATGTAACATGCATATCATCAAAAACGTTTCGGAAAAAGTGCAAGCAAAAATTTATTACTAGCATCGTTAAACTTGTATAACGCAAACACATGTTATTTAGTTCTATTTTTATCATGTCAATCATATTCAATGAATGATAAAAAATTGAAAAAGCATAATTTTCATTCCATAAAATTGGTATCATTTTTATTCGAGAACCATAAAGGGTCTTATTATAGCAAACAGGAACAAGAAATTGTCTAATTAAATGAATATTACTTTACGAATCTCTTGTGTTGGTTTGTTCGCACTATTACCGATATTACAATTAAATATCTAGGAAAATTTGATATTAATTTCGATAATGTCTTGGTTTGAGGAAATTGCGTCGATTGTTATCTCGAGCACCGGAAGCGGTTACCACCCCTGTCCCTTGAGCAATCTTAATTTAGGTTTGGTTTTTGTTTGTTTATAATTTGTCTTGATATCGGTTACAAAGTCAAATACAAACTTTAGTCAAATTGCACAGAGCTACAAACAAGATCATAAAAACATACGTCTGTGCATGAATGACAAGACACGATCGATTTTTTCCTTGAAAATGTTATGACGTAACCTCATTTGATAAAAAGGTTTAAAATTTACACGAAGTCACAGAACTGTATAGCCCATTAATTAATTGACAAACTTTAAAGCTTTGTTTTGATATCCAGAAGTACAAAAGAGTGTGAAAAATATTTTTATAATAACAATCAGTGCACAGGATAATAATTAAAGAGAAAGCCAACAGCTTCCAAGAAGCAAACAAAAATGAACACCTAAAGCTCTCTTTGCATCTGCTGAGCGTAAAATTTTACTACACTGACAAATACACGGGATATAGGCTCCTATAGATTATTGGACTAGTTATATTAAGTGGCGAGTCAATATACTAGGCATTACATCCCATTTACGTGCATTATTATTATTATTATTATTGGTACTATTATCATTAACTTGTGGGTTTGTTTTTTTAAAGCTTGTGTCTGTACTACAATTTAAATCTTGAATTATAGATTGGTGATGTGGGGAGAAGATTTGTAAAGATTTATATCAGAAAACTCGTCTACTTCAGTCATTAACTTTAAAAAGATTTAACTATATTATGGTTAAATAAACAATAATACAATAGTCTGCAGTCGGATCAGAATATTTTTGGCTTTTCGAAGCACCTGTTAATATGCAAATATTTTTTTGGTTCTTGTTGTTTCTGTGTGGTCTGTCGTTAACACCTGTGTGTTGGTCTGTGTCTATTTGTTGGTTGTATCAGCCATGTTTTGCTACATCTTCCTTCTTGACACACTCGCCGCTTTAACACTCTTCTAACCATTATATAAAATTGACATATATATAAAAAAAAAGTCAAACTAGTGAATCATACACAGACTCAAAGCACGGAATTTTATGTTGATGACAGATCTGTAATAGATTTTTTGAAATTTATTCAATTATTTAACTCTAGGCAGTTCAGATCTTGACATTTTGTATACACACTTGTCTTATATTTCTGTAGACCGTATTTGGACCTCAGATGTCATTTAATTTTTTTGTATCGTTTAGTTGCAAAACATGTCTTTGAAAAGATATCTTTTCAGCAACCAGTTAAGACAGAAAGGGGCTATTCTGAAAGAAGCTCATACAAACACCACCTAGATTTTAACAAAGCTGTAAAGAAATATTTCTAATTTTCTCTCCAAAAACTGAATGAATCTTAATTGTAGCTGAATAATCCGGTGTCTATATCAACAAAGAACTGTAAACGTTAATTTGTTTTCGAATTTCTATAAATACAGGCTGTTTCTAGGAAATCCTGAATTCCTTCCATTAGTTGGATTAGAATTCAATGTCTGATCAAACATTATAAATAACTATAACTGTTTTACAAACTATTTCTTAATGGTTCTAGCATCATGACAACTATCAAAATACAAGCAGCTAAGTAATTTGTAAAATGATAACAACATTAACAATGCAACTTATATTGATTAAGAAAATACGTCTTCTGCAATGTCTTTATTTACACGTTTTTAATGAAATTAGAATTTGTTTTCACACATCAAACCAAAATATATTCATTTAATTTCTTCTTTGTTGAAGCTAATTCTTGTTTATTTCGCGTTTGAAAGTGCGCAATTACATTGCTTTTACTATTTCAAAATATAGACCGATGTAACAAGTAACACTATTATGTACAAGTAATAATATCACATGTACATAAAAAGATACTTTTTAATGTGCTTTATAAAATTTTGAATGCATTTTAAACTTTCCATTGATAAATTATGTAGTTAAATTAAACATAAAATTGAAGTTGCAACTTCCTCGTATAAGTTTTCTTGGTCAAAGTTTTTGATGGATTTTTTTTATAGTGACAATCGTCAAAGAAAACTTTGATCAAAAACTTTCCTTGACTTGAATGAATAAAATCTCATCCTATTTTTTCTTGAAACTTGGATGGACTTGGACGGGAATTATCCAGTTTTTGATGAATGATTTTAATAGTGACAACAGATGACTTGGACCAAGTTTACCCGGTCAAAGAAAACCGGTCAAAGAAAACTTAGTGAAAAAAAAAGTGATAACCGGGCTTAAAGTTGACCGAGGACGATTTCTGCTAGTATAGTTTGTATCTAAAAGCTCAAACCTAAGCATTTAAAAGCCAGAGAATAAAAATTATGTAGAAACGTTAGATCTATAGGACGAAAGCAAAGATTATCCAAATACATCTCAGCTCAATTTTTCCTAAGTGTAATTTTTACGATAAATATAGTGAGGATTACAAGTTTCAAGATGTTTAAGTGAATCAAATGAAATTTACTAGTTTTATGTTTTTTATACCTGTATAAAAGATACAAAGTTCTAAGCATTTGGACAGCTGTTAGTAGTTTGAGCTTAAATGAATGTTAAACAAACATGCATTATTGCTACAAGTAGTGGTCCCATCAATAACTTTTTCGGAAGTTTAGATATGTCATGCGAGTCAGTTTACATAAATTAGACAAATACAATGACATCTACCCAATATCGTTTCATTTCAATATTCTCAGTCTTATATATATTTCGTTTTAAATTTTTTTTTTTAATTTCAGGAAATGCATCAATGTTTATGGAGGTGTATATATTTAATCATAGTTCTACAATTAATTGAACATCTACGTGCCGACCAAAGAGAAGAGGATGCCCGAAGGTATGCAAAATGTTGGATTTTTATAACAAATGAGTCTGTCCATTACTTTGATTATGAAAATAAAGGCAACGGCAAGGTAATTTGCTGTCTCCATTTCATATGTAAGTTAATTTGACAGACTCTGAAGTTATTCTTTTGATTATTTAAAAAGTTGACCAAACAGCATTTCCGCATTTGCGATATTGTTATAATGATATACGAATAACTAAAAAGAGATAAAACAATATATTTGCTGCAACTCATTTAAGACCTTCTTCTCTAATAAAAAAGTAAATATGCTAGATATATATTTACTGGAACTGTGATGAATGATTATAGCTGTAAATTTGCTCCTTGACAACATTTGTATAAGTTTCTGCAAGAAAGTTTATTGACAGGTTGTAGGTACTCCTATGGGCACAAATTGTGCCCCTTTTATAACAGACTTGTTCCTGTATTGTTATGAGTCACAAGTTATGGCAAAACTCAGTAAAGTTCAGTTTAAATTCCATTTAATTTATTTATTCAATAACAGTTACTATTACCTTGACGATATTTTTCCTTAAAATCATCAAGAATTATCTTATTATAGTGCGAAAATGTACAAAAAGGGAACCCACTTTAAATGAATATAATATTAACTGCAATTATTGTCCTTTTCTAGATGTGGATATTGCAGTTTCACGCGCGAAAAAGTCAAAACAAAATAATTACGATAAAATCGACGATGTTTCGTTCCCTATGGTTAGTTTTTCTTTATGGACGGTGATGTTCCTTTTGTCCCTTCTTACGTATATTCCCAAACTAGTTCGCTATATTACTGCAATAAAGTTTCAGATTTTAATGAACGTAATGTATCAGGTTATAACTGTAACTTGTGAAGTCAGGGATTTCGTAACTATAAATTACTTAAAACTTTTACTCATTTCATTTATATACACACAGATTTGATTTTTGAAATTTGGCTGTTTGAGAGTTTTTAATAAAAACGGAATATCAAATCCTAATGTTACGGTAATGGTGTTATAAAACATGTAATATTTCAATACGATCCAAGTAAAATTATTGATCTTTTGAATAAATATATTCTTAAAGGATATCATTTTAACATCGTAGAAATTTCTTTGGATATGACTTTTATTGGTTTTGTTTTTGATTAATTAAAAAATAACGGCATATGTATTGCTATATATTTATGAAAAAATATGGTTTAAGATCCTGTCGATATTATGAATCTGTTGAGTGTGTTTTGGTTGATACTTTAGCCTGAGAGAATATGATTTATTTATTGGTTGTTATTGGCTTTGAACTAGCTCTCGGTAACTGGGAATATTCTTAGATCGGTACTTTGTTAGGAAAGGTTAGTCGCTCATAAACATATTTAACCCCGCCACATTCTATATGTGCCTGTCCCAAATCAGGAGCCTGTAATTCAGTAGTTGTCGTTGGTTGATGCCTGTTATATTTTTTTCGGTTATCGTTTGGCATAAATTTACACCTTTATATAGATAAATGACTAAAATAATTTTAGAAAATGCAGGAAAAATAACTTTCAAAAAAATAAACACTGCTTCGTCTTTTAAACTGAAACTAAGGGGTACATCATAATCATTTCTTCGTTACTTATTTTGTTTCGGGTTTTTATGTCACTTCAGTGAATTTTGTTTTCCCTGTCTTTAAAATTGTTTAGATTGTAAGTGTAACTTTTTTAATATGAATTTAAAACAACAGCGCATCGAACAATAGATTTTCATTTTCTACAATTACGTCTTCTCGATACACAGGTTAAGGCACAGAGTAGCCAGTGATTTTTGCGAAAAATATATAATCCGTTTTTCTACCAACTAAAATAAAAATTGAAATGCTGTTCAAACATTGTTGGGCCGAACTCAAGACACATATTGCATGAAATATTACACAAAAACAATGTCACCGCATGTTATATAAAAGATATATACTATATTATGGTGTACTTGTTTCTGCTTTGAAACTTTTCTTTTTTTATGTATTTTCCCCATTGCGATATAAAGTGGTTAAAGTATCTGTCCATATGTCTGTCCCAATCGCTAACAACTTGTTATCGATCTTCAACTACTGTTGCATGTAGTTTCAATTCAAACATGATTGGCATAGTCCTTTATACTACTGTTCAATCAGATTACTATATATATAGGTTAGGCGTAACATAGCAACACATTCTACAATTCTTTCATTAAAAATATTTATGCATATAGTCGTTTCTGATGTATGTTTCAAATATTTGATATGCGTAGAATTAATGTTTTCTTTGCATACTACATCAAATCAAATTTTATAAATCATGAAATTACTCTCCTGTAATCAGCAGTTCTATTAATCTGATGAAAAATTATATCATCAATTATTTAATCTACATCATTTATTCAAATGGGGTTTAAAATAATTAGAACCAAATCAATCTTAACTTTATTTTTTTAACTTAATATTTAAGATTTTTTTATGTATTATACATCATTATAGTGTTGGCGTTTTACTGTAAACTTTATTTTGCATTTATCCCATGGTGATAAATTGTCTAAATTCTATCACAATTAAATTAGTGTCTGTAATGTTTAATATAAATAGTCCATGTCCAGTACGAAAAAGCTTTCCGCATTGTGTGAAATTTTACACTTTATTTTAAACTTCCGGTGCTAATCGGCAGATACAGACACCTTAATCGACATCAAAACGGATACTATTTAATTCCAATTATTCACACATTTTGAACGTGATTATCGATCTAATCACCGACGAATAATACCATTGTTTCATGACAAATTCTCACAAACGCATAAGGATACAAGGGAAGGGCGAAAATTCCAGGAAGAGTTTATAATACATGCTTAACTAAAATTGCATGCTAACTTGAGACGCGTCCCTGATATGAATTTACTAAAATTGTATGCTAACTTGAGAACGCGTGTCCCTGGGATGACTTTACTAAAATTGCATGTTAATTTGAGAACGCGTGTCCCTGGTATGACTTTACTAAAATTGCATGTTAATTTGAGAACGCGTGTCCCTGGTATGACTTTACTAAAATTGCATGTTAATTTGAGAACGCGTGTCCCTGGTATGACTTTACTAAAATTGCATGTTAATTTGAGAACGCGTGTCCCTGGTATGACTTTACTAAAATTGCATGTTAATTTGAGAACGCGTGTCCCTGGTATGACTTTACTAAAATTGCATGTTAATTTGAGAACGCGTGTCCCTGGTATGACTTTACTAAAATTGCATGTTAATTTGAGAACGCGTGTCCCTGGTATGACTTTACTAAAATTGCATTCTTTATTATGAATGTAGACAAATATTCCCTTGTGTGTTTTTATGTACAGTTGATTTCAATAGATGTGCCAACTGTCTACTGAAATATTCGTTCTCAAACTTTAAAATATGGTGTGTATCAAAGCATGAAGCGTAATGATGATGTCAGTTTCTGATAACTTTTTTTTCATCAGAGTGTTTTTAACAAAGTATGAATTATCCACCCCTGTTACAAACCAGACTCAAGCTAGCGACCAATTCCAGCGACCAATCAAGCTAGCGACCAATTCTATCGACCACTAAACTTAACAATGAGCATCAACACGTTAGAGAATCATTCAGAGATATGTCTGAAAATCACAAATTGACATTATGCTTCAACGTTCTACTAATACGAAATACGTAATATATCGCTTTTAAATGTTTAATGGACCACGTATGTCTACATTTGCAATAAATAGGGGACGGAATAATAAATACATATCCTTTTTAGAAAGGAAAAAGTAATTAATTTTGTTTAAGTTTTACTTTGGATTTCAATCTTTCTAACAGTTAACGTGAGTAGCGTGCTTGCTCAAGGCTTATGCTCTAAATCAGTAATTCAGTATTTGAAGATTTTATATTACATGGCATTATACATTGATATAAAATCGAGATCTTCGTTCCTTGCAAAAAATGAATGAAAAAAAAAATACAATAAAAAAAACAAAACAAGTTAAAAAAACCAAAAGTATCTGGAATGTTATTTGTTTGCGATACTTTAAACTAAGATTTTTAACGTGTAACAATAACTACATATAGTATAGATGAATTAATAAAAGGCAATCTTAGTACATAACGGCTAAACCAAGTCTCAAGATTCAGAGGTGTATTAAAGTATTGTAGAACAGAATAAAACAATCTTAGTACATTAGTGCAGATGTCAATTTACGGTGAGAAAAATAAAAAGTTAAACTGAACAAGAAAGACGCTATATGCGGTAGAAAATCATATAACGGCTTTCTATACTCTCGGCATCCTCAAATATCGTGTATTTCCTTAAAATCCCTTTAGGTAAAGAATTACTATATCGGCCCGGTCAAAAAGAACATACAAGAAAGTAGTACATATTTCAAACAAAACAGTTCCTACGCATATAGCCAAAACTTTGTCAATAAGTGAAATATTTGTTTTATTTTGGTATAAATGAAAGTTTAATCACTTGGGATCACTATAGGACCATTGTTGAAAGTCTCTTTTGAATGATAAAAAAAAGAAATTATAAAGCAGGGAATATTTGCCCTGTTGCTCAGATTTTGCTCAGTACCTGTTTTTGTACTTCCAAATTTCCGGGAACCAGTCAACACATATCGGTACTGTTATGCTGATTTTTTTCCAGGAGAAGTAATGATAATGTATATTTTGCCATTGAATAACTGTCATATAATTTGAAGTTAGGACAATGGTTATTATTTTTACCATACTGGGTAAAAGGGCCGGACGGGGGTGCACTTTCCCACCCGGGCATTTTCATGAATAAAAGGGCCTGGAACAAGCTTTCAATCCCACTAGGTGTGGATAAAAGCTTTGCCGTAGGGAACTGTATAGAAAGACTGAAAAATGAGCCCCTACCCATTACTGATAGGTACCTTAGACTTTGGATGACCAGTGAAGTCTTCAGGTGCACTTTCCCACCCAGGTATTCATACCAGTTGAAGATATGGGTAATAGCTTTCAATCTAACCACCTGTGGT